ACACCTCAATCAAATACCCTCTAACTCTTCCTTTTTCAAGAGAAAAACACCTCAGAGTTTTCAACCTCTCCTTGTATGACAACATTTCCATCCCATTTACCCATCTTCTGAACATCTCCAACAATTCAGTGTCTTTCTTAAGGTAAAGAGCCCAAGACTGAACACGATACTCCAAATGAGGCCTAATCAGTGATCCATAGAATTGAATTGTAACCTCTTTACTCTTGTATTCAATATTTCTGTAGATACAACCTAAAATCCTATTTGCCCTGCAACTATCAGCTGCTTTGATGGCTTAAGAGACTGATCAACCAGAACACCAAGATTCTTTTCTTCCATAAAACTGTTAATGTTATTTCCATCAAAATTATGATAACATGTATGACTAATGCATTTATTATAATTAAACCCCATCTGCCATTCATTTTTCCCAACTCACCAAATAAACTAAATCCTTTTGTAAAGCAGCATCATCCTCACAGCCAGTAACACCCAAGACCTTAATATAATCACAAAATTTAAATAATTTATTGACCATTCCTTAATGTATGTAAATCAAAAAGATCTAACGTTCACTGAGCCATCAGGTACCCCACTTGTGACTGAACTCCGTTAAAACACGTGTCTTATTTAATCTATCTAGTTACTTTTCTGTCCATGCCAACTAATACCCCAGATTTGTGGAGGACATTTTTAACATCATAAAATCCAGGTACATTAAATCCACACCCTCATCTACATAAACAGTAACTTCTTCAAACAATCTCAACAGACAAGAATTTCCCATAGTGAAACCATGTTGATTATCCAACAAAATTATGAATTTTGTTAAATGCCATTGTAAGTCGTCGTTTATCTGACTTTAAGAAACTTTTCCCACCACTGATGTAACACTAATAGGCCTAACATTAATGAGACAATTATCACCTCCCTTGAAAAGAGGAGTAACATTAGCCAACTTCCGATCTTCTGTCACCTCTCCACTATCCAAGGACTTAGAAAAAATAGTAGCAAGTGGCTCACATGTCTAATCCTTAACCTCATTCGAAACACTTATCATTTTGTAAATTCCAATCTTTTAAAATAAGTTCAGAAATGTGATCAACCTTGTTTCTGTCTAGCTTCAGGTTGAAGGATATTGCTTAAATCTTCACTAGTAAAACTTGAAAAAAAAAGTAAAAGTTAATCTTATCTTCTCATAATTATCTGATATCCTGTGGGTCCTACTTCCATCCTAATACATTTAAAGAAATTCTTATTGTTAATTTTTACATTTTCAGTCAACTGCTTTACATATATCTTTCAGTTTCCAAGCAATCCATTTAAACTTCTTAAATATATATAACACTTTTTTTAACACTTTTAGCCCTTGTATCCTTTGTGAGCCAAAATCTGTTATTTTTTTACTGGTAGCCACACTTTTTTCTATAAGGATTGTTTATTTGTTTGTTTTGAATTTCGCGCAAAGCTACACGAGGGCTATCTGCGCTAGCCGTCCATAATTTAGCAGTGTAAGACTAGAGGGAAGGCAGCTAGTCATCACCACCCACCGCCAACTCTTGTG